GAATCCCAAGATATTTATTTCACCAATTGAGTCCCTAATGTAATAAGAGATTCTCCATTCCATCCTTCTGTCAGCGAGAATATCTACCGTTTATTATTTGAAGAAAGGGTGCATGTAGGGATCCTTGGACACATTTAAGACCCAATTGGTTTAAAATATAGGTTAGGAGCCCAATTGAGAAAAGATTTGTAAGCCGGGGACAAACATGAAGTTACCCAGAAGAAAACTGTTAGATTTTATGATTATGGTAATTGTATTCCCAGACTATCGCTAACAATCCAATTAAAGTATATATTCCCTAAAAAAACAAAGAGGAAATTCAATCAAAGAAGGTGATTAAGCATGACAAGGCAGTAGGGCATGCAAATTAACATCTTTGGCCTTCAAAAGCAGATTCATTGCTGTGCTTTGCCAGTTAGTCATCACTCATCGGCATAATCCTCCACATGACAGCAGTGAAAGCAACCGCCCCTTTTGGGGTCCCATGCCGCACATGGTCGCCAGCCAGCAGGCATCCGGTGGCCTTTTGCTAGCACCACGATTAACGATAATAATCTAAAAGAGATTGAAACGGTAACATGCCACTTGGAAAACCCTATAATTTTAATCTCACGACATACCAAATCTACGAGGAGAAATATTACATGGGTAATTCTATAGTTGTTGTCAGCACTTTGCAGCAACAGAGTGAATTTTGGACCCAAGGCCTCGAAGGCGATGAAACATGGGGTGCAAGCATACAAGCAATATATTCAAAAGTATCCCATCAAACTTTCTATATTTACTAGGTGGTGTGGTGGTAAAAGTTTAGCTTTAATGGGTTTTTTTTCCTATAGTTTTAAGATTGAGTTTTTTAATGTTTAATATGATGATTGTTAAAATTTATATAGTTATTAATTTTGAAATTTATATAATTAATTATATATATATTCCCATCAAGATAGTTTTTTTGGTCTCTGACAGTAGATGTGTTGGCAATAAAACCATGACACTTGTCATCAGGCTTATGCTTTAAACTGGGCCCCGCTTCCTCGGACAATCATTTCACCCGTTTTGTATTTATCCGCTCTACGTCGTCGTATCAGATGCCGACATCACTCCTTGTTATGCGCCTCTCTTTACCTGTTTTTACCTGTCGCCTAAAAGCAATTTTTCCACGCTTCCTACGCGAATGTTTCTTTATGCCTGCTTTACACACCCACCGCTTGATCCAAAAAACCACTACTCTCGTGTTCTGATCAACGGTTCATAAATCAACAGTAAAATAACTAGCAGTGATGCGACACACGTTGTTTGCAGCTATAAAGGCCACGAGATAATATTATTGACGTTGCCAAATAGAGATTTTCTCGAGCTAACTGTATAGTTGAAGAGAAGCTGAAGAGGAAGAGATGGCAGAGCAGGAGGTGAAGAAGGCAGAGGCTGCAACGCCCGTGGCTCCAGCTCCAGTGGAAACTAAAAGTGACGTGGCCGATGGGAAAGTTACGGCTCCCCCCCCCCCCC